CGGCCGACACCACATACCATATAGGCATGAGTCAAAGTCTTGGGGGTGCGCTGAGGCTTGCCATTGAGTGAGTTGGGCATTGGTTGAGTGATGCGGGAGTGAAGGGACGAGCTGCGGCTGGGGATGGCGGGATTGACGTCGGCTTGGTCGCGGGTGACGGGGCGGGCGTCACGGTCGCCGGTCTGTGGCCGCTGGAAGGAGGCGTGGGTGTTTAAAGAAGGCATGGTGTCGGTTTAATGTCCCAAAGGGACCTGGACGGCTGAGAGAAGGTCGGCGGCGTGTTGGTTCAGAGCGTGTGGAAACAACGAACGGTATCGAAGAGATGAAGTTGGTTGATCGGATCGATAACGTGGGCAGCCACTACCGGCGGGGGCTGCCTTGTTTCCTCCTGCCGATCGCTGGACTTGCCAAGTTGGGTGATGAAAAGGAAAGTAGGTGGTGTGTTTGCGAGGTAGTCCCGGGTTCGATAGCGTTTGTGAGTTGAAGAGAAAGTGAAGCGGCCACACCGATTGCTGTACTAAAAGGTAGCGAGAGTGAGGGTGTTGGTAGTAGAGATTGACGACGGCGACGACGACGATGATGGTGATGGGGGAATAATAGTCAACGCTGTATGACACACACACACACACACACACACACATGCGCGCGCACACACACACACACACACACACACCAAAGTTGGGGACCGGTGAGTGATTGGCAGTGGACGGGAGCCCTTGGAGGTTGACAAGACACACACACACACGAGGGCGGCGGACCGGGGAAGGGAAACCTGAAGGGCAACCTAGGAACTTTCTCCGAGGGACTGGGAGGTTGGCCGTGTTGGTGGAAGGCTCTCTAGTCTAGTGTAGAGTCTAGACATACACACACTGAGAGTCTGGATGGGAAAAAAGGCACCAGCTGCACAACACAGTCGCGCAGTCGAACAAGGCTACCAGGGGACTCCTTTCAACGAAGAAGGGGGGACCTGAAGCTTGGGAGAGCGGAGAGAGAAGGAAGAAGTGGAGGAGGAGGAGGAGGAGGAGATCAGGTGTAGGATTCCACCCACGCGAAAGGATGGGGACGGCAGAGACAAAAGGAAGCCGGCAGAGTCGCAATTGCAGAGAAAGTCGGGACTGGGAGTGAGCTGAAAGTGCAAAGGACCGAGCACTCTGGCAATTGACAGGGGGTGGAGGTGGAGGAGGGAAACGAAGAAAAAAGGAAATGTGATGGGCCACTTGAAGCGAGCATGGGATTGGAGTAGGAGAGAGTCTGGACGGAATGAGGTCAATACGGGGGGCCCACAGGCGGACTTTTAGAGCCAACAGGGGTTTGTTACTCTGTCTCTTGTCTTTTTCCGTGTGTTGCTTGTGTCGGCGACATCGACGACGACAACGACAACGACAACGGGTGTATACCGTGCTGTACCACATGGCTTGCTCTCTTTTGCGGTTATTCTGTTTCCCCAGATTACCTCAAGGTGTCTCTGTTTGACGCCGAAATGGAAGCACCAGGAGATGGGATGAAGGTATCAACAAAATGGAGTGAAAACAGAGAAGAGATTTCAGTTTGTTCGCCCGAAGGTACACAGTTGAATGCAATGCCAATGTCAAAACGCCCAGCCAACGGAGGCAAAGCACGGTGTCCTGCACAGCAAGTGCAACATTGGCCTTGCACATCGCCTGCAGCATGCACTCCGGCCTGCAGCCAGGCGATTTTGATGGAGGAGGGGGGGCCCATCGACACAACCCATCTGAGCAGCATCTGGGAACTCTTGTTGGTCGGTTGGAGTGAGTGAAGCAAAAGACGCAAAAAGACCGGGGCCCGGGAAATAAGGTGGAGGGCCAATGGTACCCCAATGAACCCCCCCCAAGTGGCATCTCAATGGACAATTTGGAAGGAACGAACCTCATCCAGATCCATCCAACGCTAGCGGCATTGTTTCGCTGCTGCACCACTGCTGCAAGAGTGTTGTGTGCCTGTGTGCCTGCCATGTGCCTTGCTGCACTTCTTAGGGGAGCCCGTCAGGGGTATCATCTGGACCTCTTGTCCGGGATCCGGGCCCAATTCCAGCTTCCAGCCGGGGTATCCTATACTTAAAGGTCGCTAGCAAGCATGGGCAATCATCAGAGGCCAGGGAGGTATCCGAGACTTTGTTAGGCCAACATACAAAACCACCATCTCGGTTTTCCAAGCACTTTGCTCTCTGTCCGGAACACGGAAAACACTTTCTTTTCCCTCCACAATCCGCACCCACCCAGCCAAGAAGGGGACATTTACGATCGATCATTCTAGCCTCTTGCCCCTTTTCCCTTTTCCTCGGTCTCTATGTGTGGCCCCTCAGGCCCCTCTTCTTTTCCCCATTACCTTCATCTGTATATGCCGCTTGTTGGCCGACTTATCCCCTTTCGTTTGTTTCAAGGCGTCATCGGATGGAAAGCCGCAGTGTAGTCGGATCAAGCATTTGGTCAGCATTTCGTAGAGAGACGGCGACGGCGACGAGATGGGCACAAGACTCTACGGTCTGCCTATTTCTGGACTTTAAAAACACACCACAAAACTCGCCGAGTTGCCATGTTTTCCGATGGCCAAAGTGGCGCTTCACTCTCGCTCAATTTTTCTAGTAAGTCGTTTGCAATTTGAAAGAGGTAGTGATCGTCACTCCCCCTCGTCCGCCCCCATGGCACATTTTGAGTCCATTGTCCCACCAGTTGACCACGGAGGCCATTCCCACGAGCCATGCAGTGAGCCATGGCACGCGATGCCACCCTTTTCGAGAATCTATCGGTGCTTTGCCCATGCTGAGCCAGTGCGCCGGGTCCCTGAGAGGATCGCTATGCATATCGTTTCCACTCTCTTCGATATGTCCGTCGATGCAAGTGTTAGTGCTGTCTTAAACTGCAAAAAAAAAAAGAGCCGACGATGCTTGTCCACGATGGCGGCCCTCAGCAGGATAAAAGCAATTCCAGTGGGTAGTGGGTGTGTTGAGGAGTGAGTGTTCGACTTCAGCCTGTACCACGTCTACCACAGTGTATCACGACGTCCATTTTATACGGCTACTTTTGTTTCATGGCGTGGAGCGGTGAACTTGGATGGCTGACATCAGGCTTCTGATATGTAAGAAACTGTGAAATAAGCTTCGGCTGAAACAAGCCACAAGAGAGCCGGACAATTGGTCAGGTCTTTTCAGTGTGCCCAGCTGCAGCTGAAGGCACACACACAACTTCCAGGCTGTGGACGGTGGGATCTCGCCGGAATCTCGTCCATCGGCCGCCGTCTCAAAGGCCCGAACAATTCACACACATGTGTGTTGGGCCCATCTGTTTGTTCGCATGGCCGACAAGAGATTCTAGCGTTTGATAGGATAAGGTAGAGTATCGGAGATGAATCCCGTATCCTCTTGCTTTGCTTCTTGTTCTGCTAGCTGCCGCTTGTCATCACAGTTGTAATCGTGACATCACGACAGATAGTCAGCCCTTATTCTTTTCGGTCCAAAGAGAGCCGACAAGAAAGTTGGGTTACACTTCTCAACAGCGTACCACCAAAGTGTGGTGATACTGGCGGCTGTTATAGGTGAGGGGTCTGATATTGAACCACACTTGCAGGTCAATAACCGTGCACTTATCAACAAGAGCCTCCAATATCGCCCGCCTGGTATCCCGAAATACTCCCAACGACAGTCAGTTGGTTAACCTGTCCACACATCCATCCATCCATACCGAAGATACTCACTCGGGAGCAACGGAGAGCGGGAGAGGCCTTCATCCGAACCCCACCTTCAACCCGCAATGGCGTACGGCATGTCGTTGTAGTCGACGCTATTACAAACGGCCGAGGAGGGAGGAGACGACGCCTTCGGACGGAAACCGTCGATGGGAACCACCAACAAGAACACAACTTCAGCCATCGCAAAAACGCACATTGTATCGGTCGGCATGTTCGGCCGAATGCCGTTCCCCTCGAGAAAAAAAATGAAATTCAAAATGCAGATTGCGCGGCCCACACTGGCAGAAAACACCCGAACAACCTCTCCCAGTTTTGGCCAGGGTTTGAAATTGAATGCCCCTGGCTAGTCCCAATCTAGACAAGCGGGTTGCATTCGCTTGTCCCGCCCAGAAGGCCAGGAGTGTGATTGATGTGGATGACATCCAGGCCGACCCGATCATCCTTTCTCATCCGTCCATCACATTTCCTTCATGCGGGGGGAATTGGTGTAGTAGGTAATCTGGACATGTGTGAAAGCCGATTCGATCAGAGGGGAGAGTTTGTGTTCGTATACAGATGTTTGAAACCAAGCTGATAAGAGGCTTGGAAGCCATCCGGCTTTTACGCCCGTCAAACAACTTCATGGAGGTTTAGATGCAAGCCAGTTGAATGGTATGTGTGAGAGTTGTAGTGGACGTCTCATGAATGAGGTGAGCTCTCCTCACAGTGTACACTAGGTAGTGAGATGGCAGTTTCGGGTTTGGAGACAAGACAATCCTCACTCGATGGTACAATGGAAATGTGTGGTCATCACAGAGACAGGAATTCCGTGATTTCACAAGATCCGTTCAAAATGGCGAGGAAAACAATGGGTGGCCCATGATTTCAGTCACTATGATGAACGGGTGATGCCAGTGGAAACAACGCTCTGTTCCCCAGTGGTTCCCGCATCCGGGACGGGAGCTAAAGGCGGAATCTTCCGGCCAGCTTTTGAACCACCGAAGTTGAAGCAATCTTATCTTATCCTGATGGTTGTTTATCGATAAGCAGACTGTTCGCCCAAAAAATCCGCCACGATAAGCTTCGGCGACTGTTATCGAGCTTTGCGATACGCCAATGCTTGGGTTCGACCTTCAAAGTTAAAGCTTCCTATCTATCGCTACATCATCACTCAAAAATCCAACTCTTATCAACCAATACCTACAGTCTCCCCAACTTTTACTCTCGATCAGCGGTCATTGATATTCGGCATTTGTGTTCCATTTATCTAGCGCAACAAACCCATTCTCCTCTCGACACCATCATATCTGGTCACCATGGCCGACTCGGTGCTCAGCACCCTATGCGGAATCTGCCACGCCGAACCTCCCAAATACAAATGCCCACGCTGTCTAGCACGAACATGCTCGCTGGCATGCACCCAGAAGCACAAGATTAGAGCCGACTGCTCTGGCGTCCGCGACCCTACCGCCTTCATCCCCGCCACTCGTCTACGGACCACCGCCGGAATCGATCACGACTACAACTTCATCTCCTCCATTGAGCGCGCCTGCAAGCGCAACGAGCAAGAGATCGTCGAAGTCCGCAAAATCCTCAGCGACAAGGAATTACACCCTCAAAATGAAGATAAGGCTTTCGTCAAGGAATGGCACGGCGACGAGTTGCGCCACGTCCCCGTCGGAACGCTGCCACCACCACAATGGAAACAACAGAGGATGCAGGAGGAAGGCGCATGGATATCTGGTTTCAGCCGACAAGTACGCCAGAGGCTAAGGAAACTTAACATCGAAGCGGTCTCCATGCCCAAGGGCATGACCCGACAGCGCGAAAACGAGACCTCATGGAACCGAAACCACCAATGCGTAAATTGGCAGGTTGAATGGCTCCTCTTCAACGTTCCCGGTATTCCCACAACCGGCGAACAACAACAACCGCACCGAATCCTACACAAAGCACTCGAGAATAAGCCTCTTAACCGCGCACTAGCCGAAACCCTCGCCTGGTACCGCAGACGTCTCTCTCGACAAGCTCAAGAAGCCGAAACAACCATACCCGATCTCGAAGCCGAAGACGTTGACGCCGACGGCCGTCCCACCAAGCGCCGCAGACTCGAATCTGGCTTCGCCCAAACGAAGTCCAAGAAAATCACCGAAATCATCGCATCCCCTTACCTCTCCTCTTTGCCCCAGAACGTCTCAACCTCCGCCTGGTCCACCGATTCGCCCTACACCATCCAATACTCCATCACCGGCGCCTGGTCGCAGACCGCCTGCGACGGCTCTGCCTCGATCACGAAAACCGACGACGAAGAAACTGTTGACCAATCCCGCTTGCTAGCGGGGTGGCGGTTCTTTCTACACAAAACCTGGGCACCCTCAACTACTCAATCCGGGCAAGCGAAACCAAATGGCAAATTAATGATCCCGCTCAGCGCGACCAAGAAGCTCTCTCATGCCCTCCGCGGTAGGACGGTAGTTGAGTTTCCAACTATCTACGTCCTGTCGCCTGGTGGGGAATTGCCGGAGGGGTATGGATATGCGGATACCAAGAGGCGGAAGGAGAGGGTTGCTAAGGCCATCAAGAGGGAAACCGATGAGGCCGCGGGCGGCGAGGAGGCAGCTAGCAGCAGCAACAACTCTTCTGACTCCGAGGCTGATTCGGACTCGGAGTCGTCGGATGAGGATGGGGAAGTGGAAGAGACTTCATCGGTTAATCCTAATGGGAGGAAGAAGCAGTTTGGATCGCAGCAGGCTGCGTTCCGAAGGGATCAGCGCGATCAACGCGGTGGTGGTAGAGGTGGAGGGAAGTGGGAGCGTGGGGGAAGGGGCGGAAGAGGCGGCCGCGGTGGGAGAGAAGGGAAGAATGTTAGGTTCAAGCAGGAGGAGGCTGAGCAGGCTGAAGAGGGTGAAGTGGACGGGAAGGTCGACACGGCAGCGCTAGAAGCAGCTGTTAGGCAAGCTGCTTCTGGCGACTTCGATGTCATTCTCGGAACAGCGGAGGACGGCGAGGTCAATAGTGACGGTGACGAAGTCATTGCGGATGCTGATTCGGGTATACCGTGGAGGCCGAGGAGGGCGGTGGCAGTACGTGGTCGTGGCCGTGGAACCGCGGCGGACGAGCGTGGTGGAAGAGGAGGTCGTGGTGGCGGCAACTTCCAGCAACGGGGCGGTAGAGGCCGAGGAGGATATGGAGGTCAACAGCAACAGCAGCAGCAGCAGCAGCAGAGGGTTCAGGTGAAACAGGAGGAGGCTGAGCCGAGCGTAAACATGGACGTTGACATCCCGTCTGCTACAACTTACATCAAGCAGGAGCACGTGGAGGAGAAACCACAAAAACCCACTGGTGGACTTGTCAACTACGGGTCTGATTCCGAGTAGGTATTTTGGACTCAGACTTGGCTCGAACACGCGAAATATCTTTTTTAGGGAGACGTGGGGCTAGAGAGATGGTGCGGATCTATCTTGTTGCATCCCATCCAGGGAAGAAAGAGTAAACGCCCTCTTGGTTAGACTGGACGCTGGCAACGAAATCCATGTTGTCTGTGTATGGAAAGATAGCGTTAAAAGTACATATTACTCTGTTTCCCAACGCACTGCATCGTTTGATTGTTACATTAAAGGCAGACGTAACATGTTAATTATGCATAGGTATAAATATGAGTATATGACATCCATTTATCTCAAAAAGTCTAGTTCTAGTGACCAACCACCATGACAACCTCCAATTCTTTCGCATCCTACATCCCCACTCCTACTGTCTTGTTTATAATGATAAGAACAACCACCAATTAACACATACGACCATACCCACTGGAAAACTCGGGATCCCGTCCGCTCTCCCATAGATAAGCCAGTGAGGGCCAGACTAGTAGTTGGGTCGGTGACGACCAGCGAATCCCTGGTGTTGTATGTGTTTTTCGTTCTTTTTTTATTTTTGTGCTTTCCTTCTTCCGTTTCAAATGCCCCTTTCCTGTTCCTGAGATCTTTCATTCCATTTTTATTTTTTCTCAATCATCGATCTCTACGTCTCTTCTTCCTTCTTCAGTTTACTCTTTTTTCGTTTCCCTTTTCTGCATTCTTCCTTGTTACACTATGGTTTGCAGCTTCTTCGTTTTCTTGGGGAGCGACGGTTGGGAAAAAAAGGAAAATGCATGCATGCATCTACTACATCTACCAAGGAAGACCTGGGGTACCATTGTCGGAGGTACAGAAATGTGAAAACCAAACTTCATTACCAGTTGACGTAGGCGGTGGGTGGGTATGTGGGTAGGGAACCGTGAATAGAGATGGAACAGAGTCCCGTCAACGGGATTACAGATTGAGATTTCCGATCGCTCGAAGGATGGGGCATCAAATGCCTATTTATCGTGACTCGAAGAACGATAGTATCTGGTAAGTGAACGGTTTCAGATGATGTCAAGGTAAGACATTAGGTGTTCCTCACGGGAACCAGGAGTTCGGTTGGGCCGGTGAGGCCGATACAGCTAGATATACAGCTCGATCGCCATGTCCTGCCCGAGTGGAACAACGGACAGCAGTAATTAATCATCAATGTTTGGAGATGTTTGGAGAAAGAGGGACGCAGATAAAAGTAGATAGAAAGATGTTCGATTTGAATACTCTAACAACCCCTTTTTGGCATTTGCTTTTGAATCCCATGACCCCGAAACCATTTCTTGCAAGAACCAAACCAGAACCAAGCAAGTAGCAACCCGCAAACTCCGCAAACAATGTGGGCAAAAGCGAAATAATAACCACCTCGCTGCAGGCCAAAGAAAATGACGAGATTAGATCCATGACTCTTTCTCGCCCACCTATCTTTGAGGAAAGAAGATTGGTGAAAAGAATCCAGGCCGCCCTCCTCCCTGTTGAGCCACACACACACAAACGCTACTTATTCTCCCTCTCGTGAAAAAGGAAGCTATTCTAATGCGTAATACGTAAGGGGGTATCAACACGCCAAGCATAACCTATATCTCAAACTCATCTCATCAAGCGCATCTCTTCTTTCCCTCTTTACAGATACAAACTGTTGAAAGAAACAATGTCACGCCTGATCTTGGACAAGCTGAGCTCGAACTTGTCCTTGAGCTCCTCGCTGCCCATAACGCGAGCAGCCTCGGCCATTTGGCGAAGAAGCTCTTCGAGACGGCGGAAGAGACGGATGAGCGAGCCTTCGTAGACGTTAGTCATTTTGCTGTGAAGAATTAGTTAGCAAACATAAATCGTAGGAAAAAATGATGTAAAATACCGAGAGAACATACCAAATCTCGGAGAACGGCCTTCCCTGAGCCCAAGCCAAGACAGTCTCCATGAGCTGCCACTTGAGACTCTGAACGTACTCGTCCTCGTTGACATCCAGCTTGCTTTCGGCGCTGACCTTAGCGATGATCCTGGCCTGGGCCTGGATCTCACGATAGGGCTTGGCCAGCTCCTCCTTGAGCGCCTGTGTCTCGATCTTCTCGTCGAAGATGAAGCAACTGAGAATGCAAGCGCAAATCTCGGGGCTCAACTCGTTGAAGAAGCGGTTGAAGAGCAGCTCGGCAAGGAGAAGCTCGTGACCCTCGGTCGAGGAGATCTCGCACGCAACACGGGCCTTCATCTCGACGACCTCAGCGTCGTTGATGAAGCCCAGACGGCGAAGGACACGCTTGCGAGACTTGAGCTCGTCAAGCTGCGCAACGCTGTGGGCCTGGGCAATGGCCTTCTTCTTGTCCTTGATCTGCTCGGCAAGTTGCGTCTTGAGGCTGTACTGGTTCCACAGTTCAATAAGGAGAGGAGAGTTGTGGAGAGGGTTGGCCACCAAACGCGACTCGAGGACCTCAATCTTGCGGAGCAGCTTCTTAAAGCTGTCGTCATTGATACCCATGTTCTCCATAGGATCCAGCATAGGGATGCCGTCAGGGAAGCGACGGCTGATCTCGTCAGTGGCCTTACCCACTCCGTCCTTCTCGTCGGCGCTTTCAAGCCTCTTGGGCAAGAAAACACGCAGCTGGCCGAGAGCTTTGAGACAGTTCAGAAGGCAGGGGACAACCTCCCACCTGGCATTCTTGCTATCCTTTCCTGCAGGCATGATACCCTCAGGCATCGGCTTCTCTCCACGTGCCTTGGGGTTAAAGTCGCCAGACACCTTCAACAAAACGTCCAAGAGGTATGACTCTTGGTCCGGATAAGGAGGCTGACCGTTCTTCGGTTGCTGGCGGGGGTATGCTTAATCAGAACACCCCAGCCAAAGTCCACTCCACTTGGGCTCTTAATGTGGATGAGACGGCCCTCCTGGAAGAAGCCAACGCAGTTTTGGGGATGCTGAATGACATGGACCATATCCTTGTTGTAGTCTTCCAGTTGTTGACGGACATTGTAATAATCCTTGACAATGCTCTCGTCAGGAATGATGATGGAGTCTCTCTCCTGTTGCAGGCTGATGAGCTCACGCTCGAGCTGCGGTACGCTGGCGGCGTTCTGGAACTGGAAGAAACACCTCTCCAGCATGTACTCGGGCGAAATAGCCTCAATACGGAGCAGGTTGAGGACCATGTTATAACCGAGATGGAAGGCGGAGTTGAGCTTATCCTGGTTGCCGACAACGATAGCTCTGGCCGTCTCGGGCTCGAGCTTGTCATCGACCATCATGATGACGATACCACGGTCATCGAGACCACGACGACCAGCTCTGCCAGCCATCTGAATGTACTCAGAGGAAGTAAGAGGGCGGCGTTGCTGACCGTCCCACTTGGTGACCTGGGTGAAGACGACGGTTCTGGCAGGCATGTTTAGACCGATGGAGAAGGTTTCGGTGGCGAAAAGGACCTTGATAAGACCCTCCTGGAACAGAATCTCAATGGTCTCCTTGAGGATGGGCAACAAGCCGGAGTGATGCACACCGATACCCTTGCGCAAAAGGGGAAGGATGTTGGCGATCTGGGGAAGGTTCTTGTCGTCCTCGGACAGCTGAGCAAGAGCATTCTCGAACACCTTGTTGACCATGTTCTCCTCATCCGGGGCGTTGAACTTCATGGTGGAACTGGCCAAGGCCATCTGCTCGCACTCTCTCTTGCTGAAGTTGAAGACGATGACAGGCTGGAAATTCTTTTTGAGAATCATCTTGATGATCTTTGCGATATCCGCCTTCTCGTTGGCAGCCTCTCCGCCCTTGTTCGTCTTCTTGTTCTTGCCCTTGCCCTTTTGCTTGGCACTCCAGTCGTTGGAATCGGTACCCTTCTTCTCTTCGATCATGGCCATTGCTTGGTTGAAGTTATTCTCCTTGAAATTACCCTTCTCGTCGACAATGAGGAGGATACCCTTGCCACCGGCGGGGAAGAAGTAGTTTTGCAAGGGCGTAGGACGGAAATCGGTGTAGACGACGTGGCAGGCTTGACGATGGATCTTGGCGATCCATTCGGCGAACTGGAAGGCGTTGGGAATGGTGGCGGAGAGGAAGACGTATCTGACCTTGTCGGGAAGCAGGATGATGGTCTCTTCCCAGACAACACCTCTAATCTTGTCGCGCATGTAATGGATTTCATCGAAGACGACCCAGGCGACTTCGCGCATGATTTCGGAACCGCGATACAACATGGACCGCAGAATTTCGGTCGTCATGACGAGACAACTGGCTGTGGGATTAATGGTAACATCACCAGTCATGAGGCCAACGTCACCAAACTCGGCCTGGAAGTCTCTGTACTTTTGGTTGGAAAGAGCCTTGATGGGACTCGTGTAGATGACCCTCTGGTTCTTCTTGAGGCACTGGGCAATGGCGTATTCGGCAACGACCGTCTTACCAGCAGAGGTATGGGCGGAAACCAGGACACTCTCTTCGCGCTCAATAGAGGCGACGGAGAGGGCCTGGAAGGGATCGAGCTTGAAGGAGTATGTTCGGGCGGGTTCGGCGGGGGGCTTGTGCTCGGACAAGGGGATATACTCGTAGTCAAGGTCGGGGGGAAGGGCGACTTGATGCTGAATGTTGTGGGAGATGACGATGGACTCGCCCTCGGTGGGCGCGAAACCCTGGGCGCCGGTGACCTCTCGGGACTCTGCCGTCTGGAAGGCATCGGTCATGATGGGCTCGGCCTCGTCGGTCCTCTTTCTGCGCTTGCTGTCGCCCTGGCCATGGGGGCTCTGGGGCGACTGAACATCGTCGGCAGTGGCAGGGGCATCGCCGTTGGAAGTCGCGGGCTGGTCGACCGTGTTGTTGTTATTGTCGTTGTCTTCTTGCGGCACGGGGACGACTTGCGCTTGCATGTGGGTGACGGCGGCGGCATTCGCAGCGGCAGCAGCGGTGGCAGCTCCATCAGTCATTTCGACATCGGGAGAGGCCTTGCGCTTCTTCTGAGCGCGAGGCTGCTCCTCGAAAACCTCAAAGAGGTCATCCATCTTGACGGGTGTGGCAGATGTCGCCAATCAGATGATGTGGTATTGGCCGATAAATAGTGATGCGAAAGAGATGGAGATAGAATGCAGCTCCAAGCACCTAGGCTTCCTGAGCCCTTGTGACTGTGGGCTGAAAAAGAAAGTGGCGTACGGATACGGCCAAAAAGGTGTTGTTGGATGAAGGGGGGTTGATGGATTGCAGAAACCCAAGAACCAACGACCCTACGAGAGATGGACGACAAGACGGGACGCCGATAAAGTGGTTATCGCTAACGAAGAAAAAAAGTTGAAGGCAGGGAACCGGGACGTTGACAGTGGCAGAATTATCTGCGGGTCTCCACAGGCGGTCAGGCCAATCGATCGCTCGATCTTGTTGACAGTGAATCGATCAGCTCTGGGTATGCATCTACAAGAGGTTCTCCAATTTCTGTGTAGATGCATATAAGAGCGTCACCTCAACAGACTCCACCAATCCGAGGTATTGGAGCTCGACGGTGGACCCGTCCGCCAAAAATTCTCGGGAGGGTGTGGG